TGTTTAGTTTAGAAGTTATTTTACATCTATTTGAAATTTTTTTTAGAGTCTTGGAAATTCACAGAGAGAGTATGAAAAACAGGTTGTCCTATACAGCATCCGCAATCAGTTACGATACAGAAATAACTTAGGTAAGTAGACATTTTTACATTGGGGTGGAAGTGACTGATGCTGAATTATCATCCCCATAAATCTGTCGCATCTTTTCAATACATATTTCATTGTACTGAAATTATTACGTGTACAGACTTTAAGAAACTTGATACCCACCCATGCCACCTAACCACAATTTGCATTAGCGAATAGATCTTCCTAATTCTGATGAAAATTATTTTTTAGAATGTTGTTGAAAGGTTTATTTTACCTACATACTATTAATCTTGAGTCAAATGTCCTCTTTTTATTAGAGATGAGAAAATATGCCAGAAAAGAAGTACATTAGTTCTTAATAATTTTTTACTTTGAGGTTTTTTTTGGTCTTCATAAATTTTCCAAATAATATAACTTCAATAAAAACTCTTTGTATAATAATTGGAACAAATTTTAAAGTTGCTTCCTTCTGTGTTTTTTTAAACTCCTTTTATTTTTAATGTTTTTATTTGTCAGATAACTTTGGTTAGTTTGTTCTATTGCCCTGCTAGTCTTCCCTCCCAAATGCTACTCTTGTTTTAAGCATAGAATTTCAGAGCGAGGTTTTCTCTTTAAATGTGTTCCAAGGAAGACAGAGGTCTTTTTACATTTAAAATACAAAAACCAGCAAGCAATTTTTAAAAATAGACTTGATTTTATAGAAAACTACCATTCAGATTGGCTATCTTGTAAAGTGACATAGTAAGGGATTGGATGAATTATAACCTATGTTTTGTACCTTTTGGGGAGACATTCCGTGCTTGCTTTCTTTGCTTTTTGATTTGGTAAGAATTATTTCTCTATTTAACTGTCCTATTATACATTTTACTTATATATTCTTAAGTCTGTTTCTTGTGGTATAATTCTTTGTTCCAACTTAGATTAGATTCATTCTCTTCCAATTTACATACTTCTCTTGTTAATTACTATTGGTTTGTAAAGTAGTTCTCGTTGCATTTATACTTACATGTGTTAGACACCTCATAAAAACTGGTAAATTTCCTTCTTTTCCCCAGTTAAACATGTCAAGAAAGATGAACGTAAATACTATGAGGAACTACTAAAATATAGTCGAGATCATCTCATGCTGTACCCTTACCATTTATCGGATATTATGGTAAAGGGCCTGAGGATAACACCATTTTCATATTATACTGGGATTATGGAGGTGAGTTTACGGTGTGTATGAGCCGTTAGGAATGGGATGGGACTACATGTCAGAGACACTTTGCATATGATGACCAGCTCTGCAGCTCTCAGCTGCAGTGGACATTGTTTTTGAGAGTATAATATAAAAAGGTCTGATGGCTACAAGTTAATTGTTTTAGCCACACTTGTACAAGTAGTTGTCCTTATTAGTGTTTTCACAGTGGAAAAATATCTGTTTTTATTCTGTGTTCTTGAAAGCCTTGGTGAACTCTGCTATTGTAACATTAATCAGTCATTTATGTTAATAGAGCTTATATAAAATTTATTGCTTTTAATACATGATTAAGGTTGAAAAGGTGGCCGACAGAATTGAACATTAAGCTCAGAGAAATTTAATGTATTTAGCTATTTACTAACTGTAGCAAGAATAATGATGATATAGCTCTAACGTTATATAATACATGTGTCAGAGAAAGAGAAATATATTAGTAGCCCTGGCTGCTAATCTTTCTATAATTAACTTTCAGATGTTAGCCTTTTTCCAAGGGCAGTTTTAAGGCCTGTGTTGAATAACTTGAAATACCAATTATATGCTGTATTTAAGAGCTTTACGTAAAAATTGGCAATATTTGCTACTTAATTATATTTGAATGCTACCGTTTCGTGCTCACTAGCACTTTAAGAGCAGAGAGAAGCCTAGAACTACAGGAGTTGGGAACCTGTAGTAACAGTGAGACTAGCTCCCTTTATGATGTGGCTTCCCGTACAAGCGCCCCCTTTGCTTACCTCCTTACACTCCTTCTTCATGGGCACTTCTACAGCCCCATCTTGAGTGTCCCTGTTGTGGAGGAAATACAAAGTAAAGCTTGGGGCCTGGCAGCCTAGGTTTCCATCAGTCCCTTTCCTGGGAACCCGAGTAGCATAATGAAGGCGGCCCCTAATCGGTGAGTAGGATAGTTAGCTGTTGTCTGTTTGATTATTATTCTGGTGATGTTCACAGGTTTGGAGGCGATAACAGAAGGAGGTTTGTCCTATTCACCAGCTTTGAGTTATGTCCTGTGCTTGCTGCTGTCTGGTTTCTGTTCTTACACCATTGGGTATAGCTTCTGAGTTGAAAGTGGGCCTTATCGCCACAGTAAACAGTTGGTTTATTATTGGAAAAATAGATGGGGGTTGGAAAAAGCTGGATACTGAATTTAACTGTGCTGCTGATTGGCACTCCTAGGAGCAAAGATGACTAAGGTTCAGCACTTTGTTGGTAATACATGTCTTAGATGTGTGTTGATGGAGCTGGGACACGTTATTTGGCCTTTTCTCAGGGTAGGAGTCGAGGTTCAGGTATGATGTGTGAAGAGGCTGGAACTCTGAGCTCTAACAGAGGTATTCCTTGCATAGCTTCCACAGGGCAGAAGTTACAGGGCAGCTGTCTGGGATTCATAGAGTGCTATGAGAAAGCCAGACCTGAAAGTCTGATCTTTAGTTAGTAGGTTGAGACAGTGTGGTAAGTGTCACTGTGTGGCATGCCTGCCTGAGGTTGCCAAACTCTAATCTCAGTGCTTCATGTAATAATTGTTGTTACTCTGTTTGGCTATGGAAATATGCATTTATATACATGTTTTTATCTAAGGACATTTTGCATTTAATATTTTTGATTTTTTTTCTTTTCAAAAGGACATTATGAACAGTGAGAAAAGTTATGATTCTTTGCCCAATTTTACTGCCGCTGACTGTGAGTATTTAATCATGCTGAAGGAGGTAATGTTTCAAGTGTGTCTTTGTGCATGCATGCTGTTGTCTTAGTATCGTAATGTATGTTTTAAACCTGAAATACTTGAAGGATGAGAACAGCAAGCAACACGATTGATGGGAATTTTATCAGTATACAAATCAAGTGTAAGATGTAGTCTAATGCATGAGAGGAATATTTTGGAGAGATAGAATCCGAAAAATGGGACTAGTCTATGGGACTAGTCTATATATTTCTAGAAAATGAAGTTCTTTCTGATACTTGGGTTGTGTTGTGTACCAAATGAGGGAAGAAAACTTGTATACAATATTTTTACAGCATAATACATAGTTGTTACTAACATAACTTGCTGATGTTCTGTTATGCTTATTTTAATCAAGTGTAGATTTGAAATGCAGCATAGTTCTGTTGCGTAAGAAGGGACGTCTGCTGAGAAGTGCACTTTGACACTCGAAATTGGGAAGACTTCTGCTTTTAAAAAGTGTTTTCATTTAACATTGTCAAAAACCTGCGTTCAGCTTGAAGTCATCCCTCTCAGTTTCGTTTTATATTTTGTTTGAAGAATTCCTTTTAATTTGATATTGATTGTCAACCAATGATCAAAAACCAAAGGCTTTTTTCCTAAAAGACTTGTGAGTGTTCTGACATTTTAAGATGTATTAAATGTTTTTAATGTCTTTCTTTTTAGGTCTAAGGCTTCTTGGCATAGGAAGAAACCAGTACATTGATTTGATGAATCAGTGTAGATCATCAAAAGTAAGTTAATCATTTCCCTTTTTCATTTTTTTGTCCTCCTTATCATAGTATGATTAATTTCTTCAAGTGGTAGAAAACATGAAGTGTAATTTCACTGATCAAATAAAATATGCTTGATACAGAAACAATACAAAAACAACTCCTCAGTGTTCTCTAGGTAATATAGCTTAAGTGATTATTGAATTAAAACTTTTGAAGGCATAAAACGCTTAGTTTATTTTTAAAAATTAATTTTGCTCTGCTGGTCTTTTTACTTGGTCATTCCACTCCCAGGTTTCACTTAATGGGTGAAATGAGGACGCATTTTCCAAATGCACTTTCATGTCCTGGTTTTCATTTTAATTTCTGGATTTACATCCAGACCTAAAGATGATTGTTTTGAAGTAATTTATTTTGAAATAATTTGAGTATAACTTTCTCCTTTCAATGTATCTAGAATAACAGATTTTAAAACACGAGAATTTTAAAAGGTATTTATTTAGCCTGTTAGAAACAGTCTTATTATATGATCGATAAGAACGAAAGTAGTAATTTTAGATTGATTGCAGATTGTACTGTTGCAGAAATTTTTCAGAAGGAAAACGGCCCGTGATCTTCTGCCAATAAAGCCGGTGGAAATTGCCATTGAGGCGTGGTGGGTGGTGCAGGCTGCATATATCACAGAAGATGACATAAAGGTAGTTATCTTGAAATGTTAAACATAGGATTTTTATTTTAAAAATTATTTTTAATTATAGTTCTATAATTTATTTTTTTTAAGTAACACAATTTGGTTTTCCTGAAGAAAATGAAACAAATTCAAAATTTTTAAGGACCTTAGGCTAGAAGATTGGTGGGTTCCCAGAATACTCTTTAATAATGAGGGGTACTTGACTTGGCTCATGTACAATAATCTAGAGATTTTAATTAGCAGTTTTATGTAAATTGATGTGATGCTGCAGCTATCAACAATAATACTGGCTAACGCGTTTTGAACACTTGCTGTGTGTTAGATGTGCCAGCTATTCCAAGTGCTTTTTATATTTTCTCATTTAATTCTCATAACCCGAGAGGTATGTATTATTTGTACCCCATTTCACATATGAGGAGAGTGAGCACAGAGAAATGAAGTGATGGCTCAGGGTTCAGGTTTTTAACCCAGGCAGTTCACTATGGAACCTGCATTCCTAATTACTGTGCTGAACTCCTCTACTAAAGGGGTAGGTGCTTTGGTAGGGCGATAGTGTCAAGGTTAAGGAAAATGATACTCCCAGTGGTCAGACTACATTTGATACAAGCCTTATACATTTTANTCAAAGTTCCTCCAAAACTAATTTGGTGTTTATTACTAAACGCAAAGACCAGTATGGTACAGTATTTCTCCAGACAAATGAAGGAAGACCCTTAGGGCTGCTTCACTCCCATTCATTTTATGAATGGATACCTCCCCTATCTCAAAAAGCATTAGGGAGGCGCTGCTACCATTACATGGTTCCTTATTAAGTTTGAAAAGTGCCTGAAAGTTTGGGCACCAGAAAGACCCCAACATGTGACTTAACTGCAGCTTCAGGTGAATATGACTAAAGCAGTGACATTGTGAGACATGCTGAAGGTTGTGGTGTCTTTCCCGCACAGAGGTGGCCTTGGTCCTTCACCAGATGGTGTAGCCACCATCTGTGCCACCCATGAAGAAGTTTCCCTTCCTCTGTGTTATTGGGACCTTGGCTTCCTGCATGACTGCAAGCTGAGCAGTATTGGAGGGCGTCCAGGGGGTGGAAAGGAGCCAGCAGCAGCCCCAGCTCCCAATCTGGCACCCACATCATACCCTCCCCCCACCAGCACTGTGGAACCAGGTGGATAGATGGGGCCAACTGCATAGTAAGCCATGGGAACTGTGAAACCTAAAGGTTCCAGCCACAGACAGGGCCATGGGATGATACGGTGAGGTGCCAGGAATGCAGCTGACATGGTGGGGACTGTGACAGCCCCTGAGTGCACAAAGCTCACATGAGAGAGCTCTGAGTAGACAGGTGGAGGAGCATCAGTATTGGGTGGAGCCCCAGGAAGATGCAAGGTCTGGGTGTACACGGGATCTCAGGAGGCTGCACAGCGCAGGTGGGCTGTTTTGGATGTTGACCTTTGCTGTTCATGGTGGCTGCNAGAAACAATACAAAAACAACTCCTCAGTGTTCTCTAGGTAATATAGCTTAAGTGATTATTGAATTAAAACTTTTGAAGGCATAAAACGCTTAGTTTATTTTTAAAAATTAATTTTGCTCTGCTGGTCTTTTTACTTGGTCATTCCACTCCCAGGTTTCACTTAATGGGTGAAATGAGGACGCATTTTCCAAATACACTTTCATGTCCTGGTTTTCATTTTAATTTCTGGATTTACATCCAGACCTAAAGATGATTGTTTTGAAGTAATTTATTTTGAAATAATTTGAGTATAACTTTCTCCTTTCAATGTATCTAGAATAACAGATTTTAAAACACGAGAATTTTAAAAGGTATTTATTTAGCCTGTTAGAAACAGTCTTATTATATGATCGATAAGAATGAAAGTAGTAATTTTAGATTGATTGCAGATTGTACTGTTGCAGAAATTTTTCAGAAGGAAAACGGCCCGTGATCTTCTGCCAATAAAGCCGGTGGAAATTGCCATTGAGGCGTGGTGGGTGGTGCAGGCTGCATATATCACAGAAGATGACATAAAGGTAGTTATCTTGAAATGTTAAACATAGGATTTTTATTTTAAAAATTATTTTTAATTATAGTTCTATAATTTATTTTTTTTAAGTAACACAATTTGGTTTTCCTGAAGAAAATGAAACAAATTCAAAATTTTTAAGGACCTTAGGCTAGAAGATTGGTGGGTTCCCAGAATACTCTTTAATAATGAGGGGTACTTGACTTGGCTCATGTACAATAATCTAGAGATTTTAATTAGCAGTTTTATGTAAATTGATGTGATGCTGCAGCTATCAACAATAATACTGGCTAACGCGTTTTGAACACTTGCTGTGTGTTAGATGTGCCAGCTATTCCAAGTGCTTTTTATATTTTCTCATTTAATTCTCATAACCCGAGAGGTATGTATTATTTGTACCCCATTTCACATATGAGGAGAGTGAGCACAGAGAAATGAAGTGATGGCTCAGGGTTCAGGTTTTTAACCCAGGCAGTTCACTATGGAACCTGCATTCCTAATTACTGTGCTGAACTCCTCTACTAAAGGGGTAGGTGCTTTGGTAGGGCGATAGTGTCAAGGTTAAGGAAAATGATACTCCCAGTGGTCAGACTACATTTGATACAAGCCTTATACATTTTAGAAGAGATGCTGATTTACAGAAAAGGGGTGGGGTGATGGACAAGGGCCCCAGAAACCAGGTCATGTCTCTGTGCGATTTAAGAAATGTAAGTGAGCATGTGGACTTTCTTTGTTTGCATTTTATTTTACCCCAGAAGACAGATTAATTAATTCCTATGAGTGGAAAGCTCAGAAATTTTGCTTCAGTGTAAGTACTTCCTAACAGAACTGTCAAACTTGTCATAAGATGGTGAACTTCTTGTTACTGATTATAATGATGTGGAGTTTAAATAAACCATTTTTGAGAGGTTCAGAATCACAAATGGATCAGATACCAATTCAGAGAAGCTGAGTAAATATTAGTATTTATTAGTAAAGAGTTACAACTTACTGGCAAGTATTGATATTTGTAGTTACTTTGCTCTCTAAATTTTGTTGATAGCATCTTGTGGCACCTTAATTGATGGTTCTGTGTATAGCTTTTTTTTAAGCTGAGCCATCCTGCCACCTGTTGGCAGCTCAGCAGCTGCTCAGCTCGGGCTGGGACTCGAACCGCTGTAGCTCAGAGCTCAAACTCGTGAGCGAGCTCTTAACCAGCTGAGCCACTCGGCCGGCCCTGTGTATAGCTTTTATGTTTGATTTCTAGAGTGATAAATGAAAAAAAATACACAGGTCATTCCACAAATGACATATAATCATTGGTTTAAACATGAGTAGATTTGAGGAGACACGAATGAGTTAATTTGGGCAAAACTTAATTGAAAATATTTCGCTTTTCTTAGATATGCACTTTGCCTGAGAAATGCGCTATTGATAAGATCATCGACGCAGGCCCTCAGCTCGCTGGATCACTAGATTACAATGTAGTACATAGTAAGTGGTTAGTAGAAATGGTCTTTTGTCAACGTAAAAACTTGTTTTAAGCCATCAACAATTATTTATCAATTAGGTAAAAATAGCAATATTTCCTAAAGTCTGTTATTGTTTGAAATGTGACCTTAATCCACTGTTTTCCAGTGTGGCTGTAATTAGTCACATGCACTAGAAATTTATACAAATGAATCATAAGAAAAATTTTATCATTTTGAGCATATGAGGGAAAACCAAGATTGGTAAACTTTGATATAATTCTTTTCTAATTCTGTTTTACCCTTTTCTTTTTCATGTAGCATTTAATTCTAAGAATCTTTACAGAAAATCAGGAATCTTTTTTTTTAATTACTGATGTTTAATGTTTGCTTCTGTAGGTTTATATAACAAAGGATTTATTTATCTGGATGTCCCAATATCTGATGACAGTTGTATAGCAGGTGAGTATGTGCTTATATTTCTCAGTGTTCTTTGAACACCAGTATCTAGGCACTGTGTGTCACCCTTCTAAGTTAGACACAAATGATTCTAGGGTCTATGATGTTAAAATTTTTTAAAGAAACACATTTCTTCTCTTTACATTGTAACACATTGTGGCAGTTTTACTTAAATTTCTTATTTTTTATGTTATTTTGGCATATACACTGTATTAAAATAATAGAAACCTGAGATAAATGCTTCACTATCCTAAGTCAAATTATTGTTTTTCTAAATGCATGTACCTTTTAGTCCTTGTTCAGTGCATCACAGTTTTTACATATATTCAGTAATATCATAGAATTGTATATTCTCCATTTTTACTTATTTGTACTTACATTTTCATATCATTACCATCTTTTTTGTCTTTATCTCCTCCTCCCTTCCTACTTCACCCATCTCCCTAAGTAAAATTAATATTAAGGCCCTTGTATATTTTCTTCTAGACTTAAGGATGTATCAGTTTATTAAAAATTCCTCTATTGATGGTCATTTATATTATTTCCAGTTTTTTGCTGTAATAGTGAGTGATATGATTAACATCCTTGAACACAGAGTTGGAGCTTTTTTTCTATAGGTTAGATTTCTTACCAATTTATAGAAGTACTCATTATATTTAGGTTATGTGTCACAAATATGTTTTCCAGCATATATTTTAACTGTTCTTATTTGTGGTCTCTTTTACCATACTAAGATAATTTAGTATTTGTGTAGTCAAATATAAAGTGTCAGAAAATTCCAGGGAATAACCCTACTATTAACAAGTGGTAAGAGGGCTTATTAAAAAAATACTCTCTCATCAGTGTTGAATCTTGATAGGCTATCATGCCTTAGTGTGTCCTGACCTTTATTTTTATTAGCATGTATTTATGATTCTTGAATAATGCATTTTGAGCAATGTACAGACATGAATTCTGTTTTAAATCTGGAAGACAGCTGAAAAAGTAAATGCCATAACAATTGAAATATTAGTTTTAAAATTTCAAAGGCTTTGACAAGGAAGAGATTTCTGAAAGACAGGTGGTAGTGGTTTCCTGTCACCATTGGAAAATATGAAAGCATTACTCAAGTCCCTACTCTCATCTGATAAACTGATGTTGACTCATTTGAGATCCACCTAAAAAAGATTGGTCTTTGATTAGTTTATTTCATGGGGGATTGAATCACTCGCAGGATTTATATTCTACCATCAGAGTCCTCTCTGTGTAGACAGGGTTTATATGGCCTTAACTTTGGGAGTTTTAGAAAACTTACCGTTGAGTGGATAAAATAAATCAAAAGATGATTAGTCTTTAAGTTAGAGGTTTCTCTTTTTAAGTAGATACTTGAATTATCCTTTCTTGTTTTATAACATTGTATCACTGAGAAAAGTATTTTGTTTATTTTAGTTCCTCCTCTTGAAGGTTTTGTAATGAATCGAGTGCAAGGTGATTATTTNATTTTCCTAATGACTAATGATGTTGGGCCTCTTTTCCTGTGCTTGTTGAGCTGTGAGACATTTTGGAGATAACTCCTGTTTAGTTTCCCCTCTGTAAAGTGGAGATGGCAATATCTACTATGTAATAAAAAATAATACCAGCTGATGGCGAGGTAGGCAATTTACAGTTATAGGATTATTGAGGGAATGAAGTGAGCATGCGCGTGTGAAGTGTGCAGCACACTTTCTGGTACATAGTAGGTTCTCAATAAAGATTTCACTAATTCATTCAACTAACATCATATGTGCCCTATTCTGTGTAATGTGGCTGTACAAATAAGGCATGTTTCTTGCATTCAAGGAACTTAGTCTGGTGGAAAGCTGCATAAGCACTTTCAGCTTTTTGCTGAGTGCTGTATATAGTTTTTTACTGTATATAGTGGAAGCACTAAGGAGAAGGACCCAGTCCAGCCGTGGGGCAAGGAGAAGGACTTAGGGGCAGCTCCTTAGAGGACACAAGCCCCGGCTGAGTTATAAAAGGATGATTTAGAAGAGAGCCAGGCCAGTGAGAGGGGTCAGCACGAATAAATCTCTGGACGCAGGTTTTTTCTTTTCTTCATGGCTATTTCCCTGGTGCCTAGAACAGAGCCTGGCCTATAGTACTTGCCCCGTGAGTGTGTGGCCTGTAGGCAGACCCTGGAGTGAGTGTCCTTCACTGTCCTGCCACAGAGCTTAGACTTTACCCTACGGATTGGTGGCAGCCAATAAACAGTGCCAAGCAGGGGATTACCGTGGTCAGTTGTGTTTTGGGAAGATCAGCCCAGAGACTTCGTTGAGAATGGTTGGGGGAGGGAGGACACCTGAAGAAGAGGACCAGTCAGGCTCAGTGTAGGAGTCCAGCTAAGAACTGAAGGCAGCCTCGGCTGGGGAAGCGGAAGGGGTGGGAGAGAGTGTTCAAGTGTTCGTCAAGGAATTGTGCATTGGCTAAAACAATTATTAAATTCTGTGGAAAAGATGCACCTTGCTGGAACTTAAAACATAACAAAATTAAGAGTTTGATTCAAACCATGCTTTTATTGTAACCATCTTATTTAGGGTTTAAATCATAAATGTGTCAGTGGAATAGAAGCAGGTGTCATAAATATATATTCATGTTNAAAACAGTCTTACCTTGTGCTTGTGCCCCAGCCCTGGACAGCCCTGTCTGCTGGGGCCTGGGTTCTGGTACTGGAGTGAGGCATTAAAGACCAAGATCCTGGCACTGGCTGTGCTCGGGGCTTCTAGACCCTTTCAGCAGACCACACATTGTCTTAGATTCATTCCTGCTTGGTGAAGGGGGTGGGCTAACTTGATCTTCTGAAGTTTCTTTCAACCTTAAATATCCCTTTTTAGAGAGTAAGTAGGATTGGTATTTTCCAAAAGGATTAAGAATGAGAACACTTCAAATCCATTGTATGCTGAGTGAATTCATGTTTTATGGACCAGCAGTCCAGGGCACATATTTCTCAAAGAGGAACTCTTGTTCCTGTGATAAGCTCAGAATAGGGCTGTGATGCTCTTTGTAGAGGCTGATAATTGGGGGAGGGAATGACATAGCTTTCCTGTGGCACTTGAGGCTTTCATACTTTGCCATTGCCCTGGTGTGGCTGCAGTCGGAGAGGAAGAAAGGTAAAGCAAGCTCTCTTCTAGAAGTAAAAGGGAGCCTAAAGAAACACCAGTACACAACTATCTTGTTAGACCAGGGAATAAAGACTAATAGGTTTAAATCTTTAAAGTGTCTTCTTAGTAGTCCCTTAGGAAATGTGGCACTTTTAATAGAGATATTCTACCTTAAATTTTTTTTTTTTAATCTGAAGGTAGTTATCACGATTTCATCTTAGACATTTTTGTTTCACATTGTCAGTCTTTCATTCTGTATATATTCTTGATCATAATTCAGGTTTTCCCCTGGATCTGTTACGCTGTGAAAGCCTTCTTGGTTTGGACCCTGCAACTTGCAGCAGAGTGCTAAACAAAAATTACACACTACTTGTTTCCATGGCTCCTCTCACCAATGAAATTCGGCCTGTCAGCAGCTGCACCCCTCAGGTAAGGACCCACTTGGAAGATGGGGCTGCTGTCATTTCATTCACCCTCGTGGTCGCTTGATGAAGAGGTTTAACAGTCATATTGTGTTGATTCTTAATTTGTAGATACCAAATATAAAACCACTGACTCAGACGGCAGTTATGTATTTTTTGCTGCTATGTTATGTTCAATTTGTGAGGTATAATTGGTACATTAAAGAAAACGTTTTTGGATACTCGAAGAAGAAAATCTGGATTGCCTTGAGGGTTAAGATAAATTTAATTAGGAAACATGAAATGTTTTAGAAATGGGGTTGTGATGCTAAATAAACTGAAAAGACAAGACTGTACTGGAAAGCTAGAACTCTGGTTATCTTTAAAATTTACTTGTGAAAAATGACTTCCTTTTTTTTTCTTTTTTACTTTTTAAAAATAAATCAGTTGCATTGATTTGTATATTTGGAAAGGACATGTGGCCTGTACCATTTTCAAAGGGTGGGGATTATGTTGCTCTTTTTCAGTGTTACCTCCTGCCTGGTTTCCTAGATCTGCAAGGTTTAATGGTGTAGAAGAAAGGAAGGGATTCTTGTACAAGGTTGATTTTGTTGCCTGTGCTGACCTAGCTGCCTCAGTGAGCACACCCTCCCCTCCCCCAAATGTGTCCTCTATTCAGCAAGAGTGGTTGTAGGTTTGCATTTACCAACCTTGTTTTTGTTAATAATTCTTTGTGTGCCCCCTCCAACCCTACTCCACCACGTTTCTTTCTATTCTTTAACACAACCTCTAGGCGTAGTAGGAATTCATGAACTGCAAATGAATGGAAAGAATCCCTTTTGTGAGAAATTGGATGTGATTAATAGTAATAATGAACACTTTGATATGGGGCTTGCTTTATGCCAGGTACTATTTTTAACTTTTTTGAACAACCTTACAACGTCCCTATGAGATAGAGATTTTATTGCCCCCTGTATTACAAAAGAGCAAACTGAGGCACAGAAACCTTAAGTAACCTTTAAGGCTGAGGGGTGAAGCCAAGTTCAAACCTTGGTGGCCTACTTCAGAGGCCATTCTCCTAATTGCAGTGATAAGACGTGCTTCCTCAGTTCCAATATAAAATGTATTTTCATAAGGATAATAGCAGTTAACATTTATATGAGGCGTTAGCTACTTACAGGACTGTGCTTGGTCACTTGTGAAATTTGGCTTCCTTAGATAAGTATTGCAACTTTACCTCACCTGTTTTATGATTATAGCATATTGGACCAGCTATCCCAGAAGTCAGTTCTGTCTGGTTTAAACTGTACATTTACCATATCACTGGGCAGGGACCACCGTCTCTTCTACTCTCCAAAGGTACAAGACTTCGAAAACTGCCAGAGATATTCCAGGTGTGTTGTGTCAGGCTTTTGTTTGGTTAATTATTTTTGAGGAGGGTAGAAATTGGTAAGCAGCATTAGAGGTAACTTCCTTAATTTTTTTTTCTTTTTTCTAAATGCCGTTTTATATTTTATTCATTTCTTTCCCATAGGGTTATGACCGATTACTAATAACATCTTGGGGCCATGACCCTGGGGTCGTTCCTACGTCAAATGTGCTCACGATGTTGAATGATGCTTTAACACATTCGGCAGTTTTGATTCAGGTACAGTTACTTTATTTCAAAGTCAGTTTTGGATTTTTATTTTAAAGACCATAATTTGTCGAGCTCTCTGCTGGGTTCCAGTCAGACGTCAGGAATGTGAAATGTTAAAGCTGAAGAACAAGGAATCAGATCGGGTTTTAGTCCTGGCCTTTGTCTGCAGTGCAGGGTGGTAGAAACAACATGGGCTTTGAAGCCACACCTACCTTTGAATTCCAGCCTTACCTCTTGCTACCTGCGTGGCCCTAGTTTTTTTTGTTGTTGTTTTTTTCTAGGAATAACTTTATTGAGATACATTCATATAGCATCCAATTCACCAACTTAAATTGTACAATTCGGTGGTTTTTTNTTAAAAATCAGTACATGGGTAGATCATAGGCTGTTAATATTCTTAAGTTACTGTTCTTCAGTTGCTTTCTGCATATGTATATTAAATTGGTAAATAACTTTTTATATGACTTTACAGTCTTGTGCCGCATAACAACATGAGGGACCTGAGGGACCACATATACATGACAGTGGTCCCATAAGAGTATAATGGAGCTGAAAAATTCCTGTGGCCTAGTGACATGTGCCGAGGTCATAGCACAATTAATGACTGCTTTGTGCCGGTTTCAGTCTAGAGATAGTAATGCCATCAGCCTGGGGACACTCACCTTTGCCCTCGTGAGCCTCTCACAGGCATCTCCTCTTTCTAAACCAGTTTTACTGTTGGACCTACCCTGTGGTTCTCACTGGGACTGCAAGATGCCCTTTAGCGATAACCAGTAGGACACTAAAGAAAACAGTTTTCTTACTTATAGGCCCTGGAGCATACAGGGGCACACCAGGAGGCACACACAGCAAGGTCCAGAAAAAAACAAGAGGCCAAATGATCAATTGTGGAAATCAGGATCTCCAAAACATGTAGCCCAAATGGTCAGTTCCAGAAACCAACATCTCTAAAACAAAGGAGCCTCAGTGGGGGAGGCGGCCTGGCTCTTTATCTGGTCCTGTGGCTGGAGATAGCATTCCTTGAAGTGGATGTCCATGTCAGGCACTCGCATTACAAAAGAAAAGCCAACTGGAGGGCTTACACTACAATTATTCGTGAGTTGGTGATGGTGGTGTAAACAAACCTACTGTGCTGCCCTTTGTATAAAAGTGTGGCCCGTACAATTACAGAAGTAAGCTGTACCTTCTAGGGTTGTGTAAGTGCACTCACTGTGTGTGTTTGCACAAAGACCAAATGGCCTGATGTCGCATTTCTCAGAGTGTATCCCTGCCTGTAAGTGTCACATGACTGTATAGTGAAAGGACTGTAGACTGTAGATTGCTTTAGGAATTCTCTCATTTTAAATGAGACAGGGTTAAAGAGTAAGGAGTCTTCAGTTGGTAAGGTCACTACCTGGATTTGTACCACTCTGAGCATCTTCGAGATACGGCAAGAAGAAAGCTCTGATTTCAAAATTTATTCAGTTTTTTTTCAGTTATTCATAATTTAAAATTTTGTTGATTATGGTTAATGTGTTCACTGCAACTGTAATATGCTAATAATTATAAGAATATAAAACAATTTTTTATTTTATTTTCCAGCTTGCAAATGTCCTTGAGATAGACTTATCCCTGGTTAAGGTATGTAATTTTTATACTTCCTTTCCTTACAGTGTAATTACTGAATGGATTTTATTACAGGTTTTTGTCTGGATAAGCTACTGAGAAATGGAGGCAGTGAGGCTCTCCTTAGCTCTCAGGGGAGGCGTGCACAGCAAAGGGGTGCTCACAATTTAGCAAAGCGCAGGACACGGGCCCTCAGTCAGTACTCCACCCCACGGAGTGACAGGATCACGCTCACATCCGTGGAGAGAGAGCTGCAAGTGGGCTGATCGGTGTCTTGTAATGAGGTCAGTTAGCGCAACAACCCCTGCTCTGCTGGGGGCAGATCTAGGGAGGTTGGGCAGAGAAGCGGAAGTATCCCCTCTCCTACACATAGGAAGACCTCAGAGGAAGAATAGGCCCACAGAAGGTTGTTTTTCTACTTAGAGGATGAAAATGTTTGAGAATCACTGTAGGCAGAGTCTGTGATGATATTTTTATCTCTACAAGGATTCTGACGTCCAGTTTATTTAAAATGCTCATTTCCTTTATATTCCTTTCAGAATGCTGTTTCAATGTATTGCCGATTGGGCTTTGCCCATAAGAAAGGACAAGTAATAAATTTGGATCAACTTCATTCATCGTGGAGAAATGTTCCATCCATAAACAGATTAA